CGGCCTCCCGGACCCCTGGCGACGTGGGGCCTTGCACGAGTGCCTGGGAGGCCCCAGGGGCGCTCCCCACTCCCGGACAGCCCCAGGACGCCCATGCCTCTGAGCCAGACTCCGCATCCCTTCCTGGCATCAAAGCGGCCGGCCTGGGGACAGCCCGGAGACGCCCCGAGGGGTCCCTCCCTCCCTGGTCCAGCGGTTGGCGGAGAGCGGGAGGCGCGGGCGCTGGAGGACGGAGACGCGCGCACACGCCACCCGCGCCCCCACGCGCGTCTGCCCGGCCGCCTGGGTGCCGGGACCCCGCGTCGCTCCCGGGGGCGAGCGCGAGGACCCCCTCTGGCGGTGGCGCTGGCACAGGCTCCGGAGGGCAAAAGCGAGCCGCACACAGGAGAGCCGAGTCCCCACAAAGCCCCCTTCGTCCCCACGCACTCACCGGGTGCCCCGTCCTCCCCCCAGGGTTCTTCGGGGCTCCCCAGCTCAGGGCTAATCCGAGGCTCTCGCCGGGCCCCGGGGACTTGCCCTTATCCAGGCCCAGCCGCGCGGCCGAGGGGCCCCGCAGGCGTAGTGGGAGGGGGCGCTCTTACCTCGGAGGGGTCCTCTTGCCCGGCTCGGCCGCGGCGGCCTCAGGCTCAGGAGGACACTGTTTCTTTTCCCTGGGAGCCCGCGGAGTGGGAGGAGAGCGAGCCTGTCCCTCCCCGCTCCCGCTAGTCCCCGCCCCACCCCCGTCCCGTCCTCCCGGCCAGCCAGAGAAGACGCCCTTGTGGGGCTGGAGCCCAAGGTCCCCCACCCACCCTTTTCCACAGCAGCACCTCCCACCCCCAGCCCCAACCCGCCTGCACAGCGCCTGCTTTGTTCATCTCTACAGCTGGGCCCTCCACCAGCACCACCACCAGCACCACCACCCCCTCCTTCCGCGCTCGTCTCCCGACTCCCCTAGACCACCCTCCACCTCTCTGCTTTAACGCGCTTCTCAGTGTTTCGGGCAGCCCCTCACTTCCTCCTTTCTTTTTCCTTAAATGCCTCAGACCTCCGTGGGCTCCAGTGACCTCCCAGTCACAGCCCCTATAACATGCGCTGGTGTCCTCCAGAACGTCTCTTGAGGGTGCCTGTCACCCTTTCCTCTCGAGAACCCTAGCCCAAGCCCACCGGGAGCTGTACACCGGGTTGATAACCCTGCCCATCAGGCCCCACAGACATTCCTAGGGATAGGTACAAGATGGCAAGTGAAAGCACCATGCAAACTCTAAAGCACAGGGGAGCTGAGTGGAATCCCCATGTTGCCCCCGTGGGAGGGGGCCAGGAGGCAAGACTGGGACCCCCAGGCGTATTGGAAGGGGGAGCTCCACCCCTCCCACGGGTTACAGACTGGGAGTTGGAAGGCAGGCTATCCGTTATAGCTGGGCGTGCCATCCTGCGCAGGTTGGATCTCTGTAGGAGCAGGGCTTCCTAAGGAAGAGAAGGCGGCACTAAACGCCTAAAAGCAGCTTAGAAACTGAGCCTGGCTGAAGTCTTTCTCCACATCAACCCCCACCCCGAAATCTAACGCTGACAGCGGATCCTTACCTTGCACAGCCAGCTCTTGCCCCAGGAGACTGGCTGGGGAGGCCCTGGGGAGCCGAACTCAGCTCGACTGGGCCTCTTTTAGCGGCACTGGAGGGACCCCAGAGACTCTTCTTCATTGAAAGGAGGAGCAGAAAGCCTCCAAGACTGGTCTAAATCCCCACTGGGGTGGACAGCAAAAAAATAACTTGTCCTCTCTGGGATAGGCAAGTCCTGTTCTGTTTCAGCGCCCTTAGTTTGTGTCTCTAACCCAGGAACAGCAGGAGGTTGAACTGCAGGAATCTCTGGTCACTCATTGACAGGGCCAGCATTAGCAGGGGACCCCCCCGCTAGCTGGAGGCTGGAGCTGACCACAGCCAAGCAGTGAACAAAAGGGGGGAGGGGAGAGGGCACCCTTTGCTACTACCTGTTACAGCTGATGGAGGTGGAACAGTCACCCCCTAGAGCATGCTGTGGGTACCGGGAAAGGATGTGGGGGTAAGAAAGACTCATTCTTCATCATTCCATACCGTTTGAGGCTCATTAAAGCAGTTCGGCTCTGGCCAGCCTTCCTAAGGCAGATCACAACAGTAACATTCGGACTATTTTGATATGCAAAAAAAAAAGAAACAAGAGAAAAGAAACAAAATCCCATATGCCAGGACCCAGCATTTGAGGGGAGGGGCTCAGCTCAGGGTACCTCAGAGACCTTTCACTTCACTGTTTCACAACCCCAGCTCCTCTTTACCATCTTGGTCAGGAGGAATTTCAGGAATAATCAAGCCTGCCACGGGGTTGAAACAGCACCCAACTTCTCTCACTGTCCACCCAGGGACCGCTGACCCCGTGCTCAATGTGTCCTCTCTCCTGCTGTGTCGGGCCACTATGTTCCCACAGTTAGAGCCCTCAAGGGAATAAAGACCTACCGCCCCCACCCTCCACCCCCACCCTATTCCACATCTGGAGCCCATCAGAAAACTCAGTGCTCTCTCATAGTTACGCAAGAGGTCGAGCAGCTGGGAGCTTAGGAAAGGGGGAGGAAGGGAAGGGAAGAAAGTAGAAAACAGCTTTCCAGTCGTGCTTCAGACTTTCCGAAGTGGAAGCAGGGGGAGAGGGCACAGGCTGGGTGTGGAAGAGTGGATTTTTTAAAAGGCTCTCTGCACTTGGCTATAAATGTCGGGAGTGGATTTCCACATTTGTGCCTTAGCCTTGGCACATTTCCCACTCTGCGCCCCCTATCTAGCCCCAGAAAGAGATGATTATTGTGTATACAGCAAGCAATCCCTGTAGGAACACACCCTCTCTGGAAAACTATCCTTTTCTGGCCTCTTTGGATTCTGAATTCAGGCATTAGTGGAGGTGTAGTAGCCATGCCGCTGCATCAACTTGGGAAAAAGTCCAAAGCTGTCTTCTCAGTTTGTCTTAGAAATTGTACAAGCCACACTTCTACCCAAAGTTAACATGCATTCAAGCTGAGTGGGAAATCTGGGTAGAACAGAAGACTGGTCTTGTGTACCTTCAGTTAAGGACCTTCCTATGAGCTAAAAAGAATAAGCATTAATGTGGGCAAAAGAATGGGAAATAAGACCTATTTCCATTTCTCTCATGACCTTGAATTTGTAATGCCTATTTTTCAGACAGCTCCAGTGCCGGTTTGGTAATCATCACCCAAAGTACACCTAGGGGAGCCTTCCAGAATTGGACCAACCTCTAAATAACCACTTAGCCTTGCCCTGAGATCAGCAGGCCAAAAAAACTTTTTGTTTTGGTAAGGGATGGGAAGAGTAGGCTTCTAAAAAACTGCCTAATAGTTTGACTTCTTGTGAGAGGGAAAACAGCTTGGTTTGGAAACTTGTCTAATTTTCCTAAAGGTTTGCCTCCGTATGCGTCACTAACTTCCTGCAGAAACCAACCTACTTGCAGTTGTCACCCATGCTGGAGCGCAGGGATGCAATCATAGCTCACTGCAGCCTCAAGTTCCAGGCTCAAGTGATCCTCCCGCCTCAGCCTCCCAAGTAGCTGGAACTATAGGTGAACACCACCATGTCAGGTTTATTTATTTAATGTAGAGAAGGGGGTGGGGGAGGCTGGTCTCAAGCAATTCTCCTGCCTCAGCCTCTCTCAAAGTGCCGGGATTACAGGCATGAGCCACTGGGCCTGGACTGTAGCTCTTCTAATAGTAATTTCAAAGAAACTCCAGAGGTGTAAATATAATTTATCAGAGAGGGCAAGAAGGAGGGTGAGAATGACTGTAATAAGACAGATGTGGATAGTAAAGAGGAGTCAATTCTGAGTCTTTGCTTCTTTTTGAGATTCCTCTGAAGACTGCAAGACAGAAACCCTATTCCCAGCTCTCATTGAGACCCATGTTGAGCTCGACACTTGTCTAGCTTAGCAAAGAAAGGCTTTATAAGCAGGTACAGTCATTGCTTCTAATTAGACTTTTATCTCCTTGAGGTTGAGGACTTTTTCTAGTTTTCTCCTATCTCCTTCCAATAAGCCCTGCCAGGTTTGAATTTAAGTAAGAGGCTATTCTGTATCAACCCAAGAAGTCTCTCAGATCCTACCCAGTGTGAGTTTTACATTTGCTCACAATTTAAAACTGAAGGGCAAAGATTCCCGCCAGTGATATATGGGTTGATAGATTTGCTACTGTGACCAAATGAACTGTAGATTTATTTTATTTTGAGTCAGAGTTTCACTCTGTCTGTCATCTAGGCTGGAGTGCAGTGGCACACTCATGGCCACCGCAGCTTCGAGCTACTGGGGCCAGGTGATCATTCCGCCTCAGCTTTCCAAATAACTGGAACCACAGGTACACACCACCATGCCCAGCTAATTTTTTTGATTTATTGTAGAGACAAGGTCTCGCCAAGTTGCCCAGGCTGGTTTTGAATCCCTAGGCTCAGGCAATCCTTTCGCTTCCACTTCCCAAAGTGCTGGGATTACAAACGTGAGTCACCATGCCTGGCTGAATGATAGATTTTAAAGGGAACTTCTGTCCAGGGGAGGTATGTTCCCTACCTCTTCTTCATGGAATTAATTAATTCAGAGAAGGAACCAGAATCCTCCTACATTAAACAGAATGCTCAGTCAGACCTAATTATTTTGCTAGTCTCCCTCACAACAGGCCAACAAAGTCCACTTGGTGCCACAGAGGGACTAGCAGCCAGTTGGGGCGTGGCATGGTATTGGTGCTCATTTCATGAGGTTAAGGTTACAGTCTCAGTGAGCCAAGTCACACTTTAGCATCAGACCAGATACCTTCTACTTTGCTAAAAAATAAAAATAAATTAAAATGTTAGCTTTCACTATTAAAATGGAAACTTTAGCTGGGCTCGGTGGCTCAGCCTGTAATCCTGCGCTTTGGGAGGCTGAGGTGAGTGAATTGCCTGAGCCCGTGGGTTCGAGACCCACCTGACCAACTTGGCGAGACGTCATCTCTACAATAAATCAAAAAAGTAGCCGAGCGTGGTAGCGCGCACCTGTAGTTCCAGCTACTTGGAAGGCGGAAGCAGAAGGATCACTGGAGCCCAGCAGGTCGAGGCTGCTGTGGCTGGGAGCGTGTCACTGCACTCCAGTCTGGGCGACAGATTGAGACTCCAACTCAAAAAAAAAAAAAGGCATAAGAAAGTAATAAGCCTTTTCCGAGGGAATTATCATTTCCCAAGGCTCATCCCTGGGTTATTTGCTTCTCACTCTTGTGGAATGAGGAAGAGAAGGCACTAAGCTATCACCTAACATTAGTCTTTAAGGAGGAAGACCCTAGTTTTTGATTCTACAACTGTTCCTGACAAAATTAGCACTCCAATTCCCCCAAAGTGCCTAAATAGTATCAAATTCAAAAGCTACACTGTTAGAGTGCAAGTGTGTATAAGCGTGTGTGTACGCATGCTCAAATGCAGAAAAATACACAAGGAGGCCCAATACCTACGTGTATTACATGGAGAAAAGGCAATGAATACTCTCAGATAGAGATTACATTCTCTTACAAAAAAAAACAAGTCATTAATTTTTTATCTTAGGTCCCATTACAGCATCCTGAATTAGCAAGCAGTTACCAAAGTGTGAGTCAAGAGTCCAATAAACAACTCATTTTATAATACTCTTTATTTGATTAAAGAATTTGCCTTCTTTGTGTACACTGGAATGTTATATTCCCTATGTATTTTACAGGGTTACAAAACATCTCTCATTTTAAATATTACCTCAAAAGTAATCTCAGAAAAAAAAGTTTTTGTGAAATTAAACATGACTTTTTAAAAATCCTATGGACAAGAACTTAAAAAAAAAAACTGGATTAATGATTTCTTTCCTACTTAATTATATGACAGACTTGTCCCAGACCCCTTCTTCAGAAAAACTTCACGTGGATAACCAAGCTAGTGATGAGAATTCTTCCCTGATGCAGTTGGGGAAAGGGAAAGACTAGAAATTTCTTTGGCAAGCAATTCCATCCATGGCCATTTATGTATGACTGCTTTGCTTCAAGTACAGTATACTTTTTGGAGGGAAGGCCAGATGTTTTTCAGAATGAGAGAGGTACTCTCTAACCAGAGAAAAGTACAGGAGGTCATCTAGTCGTCTTCCCACTGCCAGTGCCTGCAGCCTCCCAGAAATTCTTCACCCACCCCCGAGTGCAATACTGGGTTAAAAGCCAACCCTGGCTTGGTTGACACTGTAGTCTCCATTGAAAAAGCAACGGATGAGACGGAGCTGAGAAACAACCACTACACGATAACACTCAAAAGGCTTAGGGGGAGGAATTACAAAGACTGTGAGCTATTATGTTTCAGTTTAAGTACCCAATATGTAGAGAACTGAAAGCTTGGGTAGCAGCGGACATGACTGCATGTGGATGTGAAATCCCTAACTGGACATAACCATTCTCCCAGACATCTTGAAGAGGGTTCTGTGCCATTTGAAAGCTGCTTTTCAGCTATCTTTAATATTGACACAGGTGGGGTTCGCAGTACTATTCTAAACTGGAGGGGGGCATTGAAAGGAAAACAACCTGACGAAGGAACGGAGGGATGAACAGATACAGGAAAAGGACAGAAGACATCCCTGTCTTTTAACTTCTAGATCCCACTCCCCTGAACAGTTCGCCTGCATAGTTCAAAGCTCAAGAATGGGTTGGATAAATGAGTTCTAGGAGCGCCAAACACACACAATGCCTGTATGTAGATGATCCCAGAGCTTGACGAAATACACAGAAAGAAAAAACTGAAGATAAAGGAGTGTGCAAGATTAAAATCTCCTACAGAGAAAACTTTAAAATCAAAGTATGAAATATAACTATATTTAGGGACTAAAATAAAGGAGCATCTTAGGTAAAGGCGGGGAGATATTGAACTGGGGGCCTTCTCGGAAGAGCTTGCTTTCTTGCTGGCCCATAAGATCTGCCAAAGAAACCAGCAGCCTTTCCCTTTATGTTTGTGCCATTTCTTTGTCAAAGAATGTCTCTGTGACACTGAAACATGGGGGTGAGTTGAGGGTCCTTGCGCGCAGAGAATCGTGCATTGTATCAGAAAAAAAGGGTCTCCAATGGCTTGTAAATTTGGAAAAAACTCTTCAGCCACTGTTAGCTTCTTCTTTATTAATTCGAAAATTTTCCTTTTCGGTTCCCTCTTCTTGGTATTACAGAATTTCATACTTATCCACTAGGAAAGTGGTCTCTGTGGAAAATCTGACAGGACTGTTTCCATCTACTTGGGTCACTTTGGTAACCTAGAAAATAAACAAGGAGTAAGGTAAAGCAGAAGGAGGTCTGAGTCTTCAAGATGTTGACTAAATTCTCATTACAGAACAAATTTCCTAAAAGCAATATTAAGAGTAACTTAGAAATACTAAATAATGTTCAATTCCCAACTGCGGCTCACAGCATAACTCTTCCCCACCAACATGATATTTGCTTTCTGGACAGAGAAAAGACAACTGTTGGGAGGAGCTGTAGAGCCGTATTAATAGTAAATAAAAGCTCCAGTATGCCTGGCCACAGTCTAGTCCTGTGCTATAAGACTTTCTATGAAATTCAGAAACATTCTGTCAGGATGATTAATTAACATTTTGATCCAAAATGCAATGTTCTAACTCTTCAATGTTATTTGTTTGATCTGCTTTCAAAGTCTCTTGTGTCCAAAGCCCCACTAAGCTGCTTTATCATACTTATGTTTTAGGCATGGCTGAGTCCTTCCAATGAGGCTTTTTTCCTTTCCTTTAAAAAAAAAAGTAATAAAAAATGTCCAGCTTAATTAATAACCTGTAACAATGGCATCTATAACGGCACCAATACAACACTTAAACCATTGATTCATTTTTTTTTTTTTTTTTTTGAGTTGGAGTCTCACTCTGTCGCCCAGACTGGAGTGCAGTGGCCGCTACCGGCCACAGCAGCCTCGACCTGCTGGGCTCTGGTGATCCTTCCGCCTCAGCCTTCTGAGTAGCTGGAATTACAGGCATGTGCTACCACGCCCAGCTGATTTTTTGATTTACTGTAGAGTTGAGGTCTTGCTGCCCAGGTGGGTCTCCAACCCGCGGGCTCAGGCAATCCACTCACCTCAGCTTCCCAAAGGCACGGGATTACAGGCTGAGCCACCGAGCCTGGCTGATTGGTGTTTTCTAATGACGTTTTGAGAACTCAATTATACTGTCCCAATCTTTAAATCGTCCCAAGGAGGAAAGTGTATCCATTTCTATCTAATGTCTCGGGTTCAATAAAGTGACTCCCACTATGATGGTGTTATGCCACTAACAGACAGCGAAGAGAAAGAACTGCTCTTTGGAATCAACCAACAGAGAGAATTCTAACTTCCCAAGCACTTACAGGGGAGATAGAGACCATCTAGGAAGGTAAGAAAGTGTCAGATTAATGAGCCAGTCAAAAAGGGTGGCTGACAATATAAACTAGGCTCTAGTAAAACAATTTCAAAAATTGAACGAATAGTGAGTTTAAAAATAATATGGGCCTGGCATGATGGCTCACACCTATAATCCCAGCACTTTGGGAAGCTGAGGCAAGAAGACTACTTGAGCCCAGGAGTTCAAGACCAGTCTGGGCAACATAGTGAGACCTCATCACTACAAAAAAAATCAACAGGTAGCCGGGCTCGGTGGCTCAGCCTGTAATCCCATGCCTTTGGGAGGCTGAGGTGAGTGGATTGCCTGAGCCCGCGGGTTCGAGATCCGCCTAGGCAACTTGGCGAGACCTCATCTCTACAATAAATCAAAAAATCAGCCGGGCGTGGTAGCGCATGCCTGTAATTCCGGCTACTTGGAAGGGTGAGGCGGGAGGATCGCCAGAGCTCAGCAGGTTGAGGCTGCGTTGGCCGGGAGCGGCCACTGCACTCCAGTCTGGGCAACAGAGTGAGACTCCAACTCAAAAAAAAAAAAATCAACAGGTTAGCCAGTTGTGGTAGCACGTGCCTGCACAGGGGAGGCTGAGGCAGAAGAATCACCTGAGTCTAGGAAGTGGAGGCTATGGCAAGCCATGATCGTGCCACTGCACTCAACAGAGTTAGACCCGGACTCAAAAAAATATATAAATAAATAAAAATAATCTGAAGGAACAACGCACACATTTCTATTGCTCTGCACCTAAAGGACAGGGTTGACACAGAATTGGCCCATGATTATTTGTACAAATGAAGGGAGCTATGACAGAAATGATCCAAAATAATTTCCATTTACAATACAATGGAATTTTTTTGTAGTAATTTGGCTTAAAAAAAAACAAAACAAAACTTTCATTTCTTGGTTATAAACCAAGTGAAAACAAGGCATTACAAACAAAGTCATGTGTTGAGTACTTGGCAAATAGATTTTAAAATATATGAGGTAGGCCGGTAGCTCAGCCTATAATCCCAATGCTTTGGGAGGCCGAAGTGAGTGGATTGCCTGAACCTGTGGGTTCAAGACACACCTGGGCAACTTGGCGAAACCGCATCTCCACAATAAATAAAAAAATTAGCTGGGTGTGGTAGCGTGCGCCTGTAATTCCAGCTACTTGGAAGGCTGAGGTGGAAGGATCACTGGAGCCCAGCTGGTCGAGGCTGC